TTTTTTTTTTTTTTTTTTTGAGACAGTCTTGCTCTGTTGCCCAGGTCAGAGCACAGTGGCACAATCTCGGCTCACTGCAACCTCCACCTCCTGGGTTCAGGCAATTCTCCTGCCTCAGCCTCCCGAGTAGCTGGGATTACAGGTGCCTACCACCACACCCGGCTAATTTTCGTATTTTTAGTAGAGATGGGATTTCACCATGTTGGCCAGGCTGGTCTTGAACTCCTGACCTCAGGCGATCTGCCTGCCTCGGCCTCCCAAAGTGCTGGGATTACAGGCGTGAGCCACTGCGCCCAGCCTTGTGTTGGCTTCTTTAAGTTAGCATAATGTTTTTGAGGTCCATCCATGTTGTAGCATGTATCAGTGCTTCTTCCTTTTTATGACTGAATAGTATTCCATTATATGGAAATACCACATTTAGTTTATAATTTCATCTCCTAATACAAATTTGGGGCTGGGCTCACGCCTGTAATCCCAGGCCTTTGGGAGGCCAACGCTGGTGGATCACCTGAGGTTGGGAGTTCGAGACCAGCCTGACCAACATGGAGAAACCCCGACTCTACTAAAAACACTAAATTAGCCAGGCATGGTTGCGCATGCCTGTAATCCCAGCTACTCAGGAGGCTGAGGCAGGAGAATCACTTGAACCCTGGAGGTGGAGGCAGCAGTGAGCCAAGATCACGTCATTGAACTCCGGCTTGGGCAACAAGAGCGAAACTTCATCTCAAAAAAAAAAAAAAAAGAGAAGAAATTTGTGTTGTTTTCACCATTTGGCTATTGTGAGTAGTGCTGCTATGAATATTCATTTGCAAGTATTTACTTGAATACCTGCTTTCAATTGTTTTGGCTGAATAATTTTCTTTTTGAGATGGAGTTTTGCTCTTGTCGCCCAGGCTGGAGTACAAATGGTGCCATCTTGGCTCACTGCAACCTCTGCCTCCTGGGTTCAAGCCATTCTCCTGCCTCAGCCTCCCAAGAAGCTGGGATTACAGGCGCCAGCTATCACACCCGGCTAATTTTTTTTTTTTTTTTTTTTTTAGTAGAGACAGGGTTTCACCATGTTGGTCAAACTGGTCTCAAACTCCTAACCTCAGGTGACCCTCCCGCCTTGGCCTCCCAAAGTGCTGGGATTACAGATGTGAGCCACCACACCTGGCCTAAATAATTTTTTAATGATAAAAGATTTGATTTTAAATAAATAAGCATAATCCAAAGGCAGACTTCTATCTGAGGAACAAATAATTACACACGTGGAGAATGGCAAGCAGTTTTCTCGAGTACATGCCCTAACAGTGATCCTGGAAATTTTTACTCTTTTCTCTCTGGTCAGATAGGACCCCCAAAAGATGCCACTTTCTTTACTTGTTCCCTAGGGAAGGAGCTGCCTTCGTGAGTTCTCGTGTTCTCAAGTGTTTCCCTAATTCATCCGTCATTGAGGAGGATGGTGAAGGGCTCCTGAAAGCTGGTTCCATTGCAGGTACTGCTGTATTGGAAGTCACTTCTATAGAACCTTTTGGAGTCAACCAAACAACCATAACTGGGGTCCAGGTGAGTTCAGTTACTTACTTAAAAAACAAATAAATAAAAGGCATTCCCTGGCGTTAAGAAGCAGAGTTCCTTTTTTAAAAAACTAGAAATTTTCTTCTCATGCATTAAAGAAAAAAAGAAAAAGAAAAGAATTAGAAACTTCTCTATCATGAGAGAACATGAACCAGGAAAAAAAAAAAAAAAGAAGAAGAAGAAGAACTCTCTGGGAGTCAGAAATGAACCTATAAGAGGCCAGTCTTGACATGATTATAAGCCATAAAATTAAAATGAACTTTAGAGCCTTTGTTGTAAAACAGATCAGCCTAAATTTATATGATTGTCTTCCTAGCAGCTTTGGCAAAAGGGTTCGTGTCAGAGGAGTGTAGGACAATTGCTATCAAAATCTGCTGGGCTTGGTGACTCATGCCTGTAAGCCCAGCACTTTGGGGGGCTGAGGCAGGAGAATCACTTGAGGCCAGGAGTTTGAGACCAGCCTCAGCAACATAGTGAGACCCCCATCTCTACAAAAAATGAAAAAAAAAAAAAAAAAGAAAAAATAGCCAGACTTGGTGGCGCATGCCTGCAGTCCTAGCTGCTTGGGAGGCTGAGGTGGAGGATCGCATGAACCTAGGAGTTTGAGGCTGCAGTGTGCTATGACTGAACTGCTGCACTGCAGCCTAGAAAACAAAGCAACAATCTGTCTCTTTTTAAAAAATTAAGCTTTGCTGATAGAATTTAAAAAACTGAGAAAAGACCTCAGAGATAAGTTAGTCTTAACATGAAAAAAAAAAATTTTAGACATTAAACATCTACTATATACTATATTGGTCATTGTATGTATATTATCTCTTTTAACTACCACAAAAGCCCTATGAGATAGGCATTATAATCCCCATCTAACTGTTAACTGATAAGAAACCTGAGACCCAGAAAAGTTACATGAGGCTATGAAAATGATAAAGCTATGATTCAAACCTAGACTTCACTTACTGTATCGCAGCTCTCTTACAGTGTGAAACACAATATAGATTGTGTTCCTGATAAGTAATCGATTTATTTAACCATGAATATTGAACACTCTGCATGAAATGGATGAATTAGTCCTTTCCTCATAAAGCTCCAGCTTCTCTTCACATTCCCACAGCTTTAAAAATTAAAAACCCTGCTGGGCGCAGTGGCTCACACCTGTAATCCCAGCACTTTGGGAAGCTGAGCCGGGTGGATCACAAGGTCAGTAGTTCAAGACCAACCTGGCCAAGATGGTGAAACCCCGTCTCTACTAAAAATACAAAAAATTAGCTGGGTGTTGTGGCAGGCACCTATAATCTCAGCTACTCAGGAGGCTGAGGCAGAGAATTGCTTGAACCCAGGAGGTGGAGGCTGCAGTTAGCTGAGATTGCGCCACTGCACTCCAGCCTGGGCAACAGAGCGAAATTCCATCTCAAAAAAAAAAAAAAAATTAAAAACCCATTTCAAGCCGGGCGCAGTGGCTCACGCCTGTAATCCCAGCACTTTGGGAGGCCGAGGTGTACAGATTGCTTAAGGTCAGGAGTTTGAGACCAGCCTGGCCAATATGGTGAAACCCTGTCTCTACAAAAAATACAAAAATTAACCAGGCAAATGCCTGTAATCACAGCTACCTGGGAGGCTGAGGCAGGAGAATTGCTTGAACCCGGGAGGCAGAGGTTGTAGTGAGTCAGAATCATGTCACTGCACTCCAGCCTGGGTGACAGAGTGAGATTCTGTCTCAAAAAACAAAAAGAAAAGAAAAAAAAAAAGAATTTCCTATGCTGCTATGCTGTCATATTTATTTTCACTCTGACTTAAGTCATCTCACATCAAAAGCTAACTATTTCCTATGGAAGAGAAACATCACTCTTTATCATTGATTATAAGTCTCAGAATATGGTTACAGCACTTCTCCAGTGCATCTTTTTCTGTACCAGTAGGTTTTGTTTCCCACAGGTAGCACCGGTGACATACCTGCGAGTGAGCAGCCAACCCAAGCTATACACAGCCCAAGGAAGGACCCTGTCAGCATTTCCCCTGGGCATGTCTCTCACCTTCACTGTTCAGTTTTATAATAGTATCGGAGAGAAATTCCACACACACAATACCCAGCTTTATCTGGCTCTGAACAGGTATGGAAGTCAAAGGAATAGTATTGACACTATGGTAGAAATCTTGCAGATTAGGCTAGTATTATATAGCAGCTCCAGTAAATTCCCCTCACATTCTGAATTTGGAATTTGATCTTTTTTTTGTTAAAAAAAATTTTTTAAGTGAGGCCAGGTGGGTGACTCATACCTGTAATCCCAGCACTTTGGGAGGCTGAGCAGAGAGGATCACTTGGGCCCAGGAGTTCAAGACCAGCCTGGACAACATGGTGAAACCCCATCCCTACAAAAATACAAAAATTAGCTGGGTGTGGTAGCGGGTGCCTGTAGTCCCAGCTACTAGGGAGGCTGAGGTGGGAGGATCACTTGAGCCCAGGAGGCAGAGGTTGCAGTGAGCAGAGATTGTGCTATTGTACCCCAGCCTATGTGACCAATTAAGACTCTGTCTTAAAAAAAAAAAAAAAAAAAAAAAACCAGACTTAGATAATGGTATTAGTTGTCACTTAAGAAAAATTTCAGGATATCTTAAATCTGTCAAGTTCTAATTCACTAAAAGATCCATAGGGAGCTAATTGGAGTATTATTATCAAAAGGCTTTACTGGGAAAAAAAAAAAAAAAAAAACCCTTCCTGGGCACTATACATGTGAAGGTAATAGACTAATCCTTGGCCCATACTTACTTACTCTTTTTTTTTTGAGATGGAGTCTCACTCTGTCTCCCAGGCTGGAGTGCAGTGGCATGATCTCAGCTCACTGCAAGCTCTGCCTCCCGGGTTCACGCCATTCTCCTGCCTCAGCCTCCTGAGTAGCTGGCACTTGCCACCATGCCTGGCTAATTTTTTGTGTTTTTTAGTAGAGATGGGGTTTCACTGTGTTAGCCAGGATGGTCTCAATCTCCTGACCTTGTGATTCACCCACCTCAGCCTCCCAAAATGCTGGGATTACAGGCGTGAGCCACCATGCCCAGCCTACTTACTCACTCTTTATTGTGGAATGCCTTCTGAACTTTTCAGCTGTTGAATATAAAATGTGATAGGGTGTTCCCAAGAACTATTTTCTAACTATTGTCTTCTCTTTTGAAAGATTTCTACCTTTAATGTCTACTTGCAGAGATGACTTGCTGCTTATTGGACCAGGGCATAAGAACTATACTTACATGGCCCAGGCTGTGAACAGAGGGCTGACACTTGTGGGGCTTTGGGACCGGAGACATCCAGGCATGGCAGATTATATTCCTGTTGCTGTAGAGCATGCCATTGAGCCAGACACCAAGCTTACCTTTGTTGGAGATGTCATCTGCTTCAGTACTCACCTTGTCAGCCAGCATGGTATGTATACATTCCCTTTCTCAACCTTACAACCGATAGTTGTGAAGATTAAAACGCAGTTATTTAACAGCAACAACAAAAAAGCAGTTACTAATCCCTTGAACTGGTGTGGTGGTTTATACCCATAATCTCAGCCCTTTGGGAGGTCACGCTGGAGAGGTCACTTAAGGCCAGAAGTTCAAGAAAGCAATTAATCCCCTAGAATATTTGTTTCCAAATTATCTAAAATCTCAGGGCCTGAGAAAGAAAATACTTTTGAGTATTTTATTATTTGTAATGTTAACTGATAATTTTTAGATTAATGCCTGTTTCACTCACTAGGCAGCCAATTAGAAGCCAGCCAGTAATATTTATCAAGAGTCTATTGAATACATAGCTCTATTTTATATCCTGTAGATAGTGCAGGGCACGATGTCTTTTCCTCCATTCCCAGCTTTTGAAGGAGGGTAATGACTATGTTGAAGGACAGTAAAGGATAACAGGAAGGAAAAGGCAATAAGGCTTTAGTTCTAAGAAATAGTTGTGTGTATGCTATTTTGTGAGGCACATTTGAAGGCCTAAATCCTAACATATCATCATCGTAATAAGGTTTTTTCTTGTACCCAGATAAATTATACTTTTTTTTTTTTTGGAGACAGAGTCTCACTCTGTCATTCAGGCTGGAATGCAGTGGCACGATCTCGGCTCACTGCAACCTCTTGACTCCTGGGTTCAAGTGATTCTCCTGCCTTAGCTTCCTAAGTAGCTGGGACTACAGGCACACACTACCACGCCGGGCTAATTTTTGTATTTTTATACAAGGGGTTGGCGCCTGGCCAACTCTACTTTTGAAAACAAAGCATTTCTGTCCTAAGTACTGAGTTAAAAATAAAATTATAAGCCAGGTGCGGTGGCCCATGCCTGTAATCCCAGCACTTTGGGAGGCCGAGGCGGCCAGATCACGAGGTCAAGAGATTGAGACCATCCTGGCCAACATGGTGAAACCCCATCTCTACTAAAAATACAAAAATTATCTGGGCATGGTGGCACATGCCTGTAGTCCCAGCTACTCAGGAGGCTGAGGCAGGAGAATCTCTGGAACCTGGGAGGCGGAGGTTGCAGTGAGCCCAGATCGTGCCACTGCACTCCAGCCTGGTAACAGAGTGAGACTTCGTCTCAAAATAAATAAACAAAATCATAGAAAATCATTTGGGAGGCCAAGGTAGGCAGACCACCTGCGGTCAGGAGTTCAAGACCAGCCTGGCCAACATGGTGAAACCCTGCCTCTACTAAAAATACAAAAATTAGCCGAGTGTGGTGGCAGACGCCTGTAATCCCAGCTACTCAGAAGGCTGAGACAGGAGAATCACTTGAACCTAGGGTGGAGGTTGCAGTGAGCTGAGAATGCGCCACTGCACTCCAGCCTGGGTGACGGAGCAAGACTCTGTCTCAATAATAATAATAATAATAATAATAATAATAATAAAATTAGCCCAGTGTGGTGGCATATGCCTTTGGTCCCAACTATTGGGAGGCTGAGGTGGGAAGATTGCTTGAGCCCAGGAGATCAAGGCTGCAGTAAGCTATGATCGCACCACTGCACTCCAGCCTGAATGACAGGCTGTCTCTCAAAAAAAAAGAAATCAGTTTTTGGTTAGGAAATGAGTGAATTCTTTGGGTTTCCAAATACCATATCCCAAAGTGGTGTATACTGCCTGGATATATACATCCAACTAAGACCTGCTTGTGGTAATATATGGCTTTGGCTTTGCAGCCTCTTGTAACTATGGATACATATGTTTAGGTAAAGTGATGTAAATGTTGGACCTGACTTTAGCATTAACTATGTGTTTTGGACCTTGATACAAAAGGGCTCTATACAGCTGAATCCCCCAATGCTATAACAGCTGATTTGCAAACAACTACTACCAACATGCAATCCAGGACCAATGAGCTAACCCTACTTTAAGGTTGACAATGAGAGTTATAATCCCCTGATTATAAATCCCTTGTCAATGAAGCAGAGTATTTTTTACTCTCTCTTTTTTTTGTTTGTTTGTTTTTTTGAGACAGAGTTTCACTCTTATCACCCAGGCTGGAATGCAATGGTGTGATCTCGGCTCACTGCAACCTCTGCCTTCTGGGTTCAAGTGGTTCTGCCTCAGCCTCTCAAGTAGCTGAAACTAGAGGCATGTGCCACCATGCCTGGCTAATTTTTGTATTTTTAGTAGGATGGGGTTTCACCATGTTGGTCAGGCTGGTCTCGAACTCCTGACCTCAGGTGATCTTCCAGCCTCGGCCTCCCAAAGTACTGGTATTACAGACGTGAGCCACAGCGCCTGACCTATTTTTTACTCTTTTTAGCTAGATTTTGACAGGATTGTCCTATAGTCTTCCAATCTGGAATTTTGGGAGGCTTTATCATATGATGAAGGAAAGGGCCATATGCCAGGATCAGTAGTCCTGCAGGCTAAATACAAACTCTAACCCAGTTTTTAGCATTCCTCGGCCATCTTTAGACTTATGCCAAAATAAATAAATCCTTTCTCTTCCCAGTAGTCACTTTTTTGCAGTCTTTCTTGCTGTCATCAAACAGTAGCTCAAAGCAAATTTGTCCTTAGCAGCATCTAAACAAAATTTATTCAGAAAGTTATCCCTGTATGTAAAAAAAGCTTTTCTTTTTCCTAAGGAGAACAGTTACATTCTCCAACTAAGTAACTCTTCTTACGATTCTTTATTTTGCTGGTATGATATATGAAGAGGAACCTGACACTGAGAAAACAGTTATCTTCAAAGCTGGCCATTTCTCCTAGGAGGAGATATCTGCATGCTTGAAAAGTTTGCTGATTTGTAGTATGAATAAGTCTAGAGTGATTTATATCAAAGGCTGCTGCCGAGTGCTTTCTCTTGTCTTTTCCTAGGCGAACCTGGGATATGGATGATTTCTGCTGACAATATTCTACAGATAGACATTGTCACTGGAGTAGGAGTGGCCAGGAGTCCAGGGACTGCAATGATTTTTCATGACATCCCAGGAGTAGTGAAAACATATCGAGAGGTAAACATAACTGTATCAGAGTTTAAGAGACTATGGTGACTATTGCCACATATGAGGATATGCATAGAGAAAATACATCATAGGAAAGGAAATACACTCATAAAACACATATGAAGCCAGCCAGCAAACATTATTGGAACACAAAGCTAAACAGTGCTTAGGGTTCTTAACCGCAGAATGACTACTTATGTTTTAAGAGATCACTGTGGGTACTGGTTGGCACTAGATAGTAGATGCCAGGTAGAAGCTGAAAGACCATTTGGGAGTCTACTGCCCTAATCCAGGTGACATATGTTGGCAGATCAGGGTGGTGACAGAGGAGGTAGTAAGAAGTTGACCAGATTCTAGGTATCTTTTATAGGTAGAGCCAATAGAGTTTCCTCAGATTATATCTAGAACATAAGAAAATCCAGAATGATTCAGGTTTTTGGTTGAACAGCTGAAAGGACAGCATTACCATCAACTGAAATGGGGAAGACTGTAGGTGGAACAGTTTTGGAGGGAAAAACAGTCAGCTTTGGATATGTAAAACTGGATATGTCTCTTAAATGTCAACTGGATATGCTGAGGTAGCTGGATATAAAAGTCTGGGACTCATTGGAATAGAGATATTTAAGGCCATTAGATCACCAAAAGAATGAGCGTAAAATAGAAAAAAGGCCAGGTGCGGTGGCTCACATCTGTAATCCCAGCACTTTGGGAGGCCAAAGCGGGAGGATAACCTGAGGTCAGGAGTTCAAGGATAACATGTTCAGGAGTTCAAGAACATGGTGAAACCCCGTCTCTACTAAAAATACAAAAATTAGCCGGGCCTGGTGGCTCCCGCCTGTACTCCCAGCTACTCAGGAGGCTGAAGCACAAGAATCGCTTGAACCTGGGAGGTGAATGTTGCAGTGAGCTAACATCAAGCCACTGCGCTCCTGCCTGGGCAACAGAGTGAGAGTCGGTCTCAAAAAAAAAATATATATATATAGAAAAAAGATCTAAGTACTAAGTTCTGGGAGCACTTCAATCTTAAGAGTTCTGATTGCCTTTTGATTAGTGGCAAATGGAAAAAGAAAGAAACAAAAGGGAAAAAGGGAGCTCTGAGAGAAGAACCAATAAGAAAGACTTATAAGAAACAACCAGACTGGGCGCCATGACTCGAGCCTGTGATCCCAGCACCTTGGGAGACCAAGGCAGGCAGATCACAAGGTCAGAAGTTCGAGACCCAGCCTGACCAACATGGTGAAACCCCATCTCTACTAAAAGTACAAAAATTAGCTGGGCATGGTGGCACGCACCTGTAATCCCAGCTACTCAGGAGGCTGAGGTAGGAGAATCGCTTGAACCCAGGAGGCGGAGGTTGCAGTGAGCCAAGATCACACCATTGCACTCCAGCCGGGGCAACAGAGTGAGACTCCGTCTCAAAAAAAAAAAAAAGAAAAAAGAAACAACCAGTGAAATGGGAGGAAAATCTAGAGATATGGGTATCCTGGAAGGCAAGTGAAGAAAGTATTTGCCTCAGCCTCCCAAAGTGCTGGGATTACAGGCATGAGCCACTGCGCCCAAACAGAGTGACCTGAATGAAGCGTTTGATTGGAGGGTGGAGAAAAAGACTTGGAGACAGCAAATATAGAAAACCTTTTAAGGATTTGGGGTTAAGAGTTTGTTTTGTGGATTTTTTTAATAAGAGAAATAGTGAATTAGAATAATAATTCAGTGAGAGAAAATTTGATCTAAGTCAGAGGATTGCTGGAGGAGTAATATTCTTCAGTAGAGTGAGACCATTAAACAAGTAAAGGAATTTTTTAAAAATTAAATATTTTCAAGCCCAGTGAGGTGGCTCACACCTGTAATCCCAGCACTTTGGGAGGCCGAGGTGGGTGGATCACGAGGTCAGGAGATCAAGATCATCCTGGCTAACACAGTGAAACCCCATCTCTACTAAAAAAATACAAAAACTAGTGGTCGGGTGGTGGCAGGTGCCTTAGTCCCAGCTACTCGGGAGGCTGAGGCAGGAGAATGGCGTGAACCTGGGAGGCAGAGCGCTTAGTGAGCCGAGATCACATCACTGCACTCCAGCCTGGGCAACAGAGCGAGACTCTGACTCAAAAAAAAAAAAAGTCTATTCCCTCTTGCTGAGCGGAGTCTCTCGCTATGTGAGCTGGAGAATACAACCAGATCAGCTCACTGCAAGCTCCGCCTCCCGGGTTTGTGCCATTCTCCTGCCTCAGCCTCAGAGCGCTGGGACTACAGGCGCCACCCACACCTCGCCTGGCTATTTTTGTATTTTTAGTAGAGCGAGAGGATGCTGTGTTAGCAAGGATGATCTCGTCTCCTGACCTCATGATCCGCCCGTCTCGGCCTCCCAGGTGCTGGGACAGGCGAGCTCCCCGGCGCCCGTATTCCCTCTTAAATATATGTAATGTCTCCTTCCTCTTTGCCCAAAGCACTTCTTTGTTACTCTTTTTTCATTCCTCAAACATGGTAGCTATAACTTTTTGTGTATCTACTATGGGCTTGGCGCTTCTCATCTCTTTTTTTTTTTTTAAAGAGATAGTGTCTCACTGTTGCCGGGCTGCAATTACCAGCGATGCAATCATGGCTCACTGCAGCCTCAAACTCCTGGACCATGTCCTCCTGCCTCAGCCTCCAAAGTAGCAGGACCAACAAGCATGTGCCAACATACCTGGCTAATTATATTTATTTTTTGCAGGGAACAGGAGTCTCACTATGTTGTCCAGTCAGTCTCAAACTCCTGGATTCAGGTGATCTTTCTGCCTCAGCCTCCCAAAGTGCTAGGATTATAGGCATGAGCCACTGCGCCCTGTCCATCTTTTTTTTTTTTTTTTTTTTTTTTTTGAGACAGGGTCTTGCTCTGTTGCCCAGGCTGGAGTGCAGTGGGTGTTATCTCGGATCACTGCAACCTCCACCTCCTGGGCTCAATCCTCCCACCTCAGTCTCCCAAGTAGCACAGGACCACAGGTGCACACCACCACACTCGGCTAATTTTTGGGGGTGGTGCGTGTGTGTGTTTGTGTTTTGAGACAGAGTCTCTGCCGTCCAAGCTGGAATGCAGTGGCTGAATCTCGGCTCACTGCAACCTTCGCCTCCTGGATTCAAGCAATTCTCCTACCTCAGACTCCCAAATAGCAGGGATTACAGGCACCTGCCACCACACCCAGCTAATTTTTGTATTTTAGTAGAGACAGGGTTTCACCATGTTGGCCAGGCTGGTCTCAAACTCCTGACCTCAAGTGTTCTATCTGCCTCAGCCTCCTAAAGTGCTGGAATTACAGGTGTGTACCACCACATCTAGCCCAGTCTTTTTTTTTTTTTAACATCAGTACACCTATCACTTGCAATGCATTATCACGTTTAACTCTGCAAAGTAAATATGGGGGCATGGAGGAGAGAGCATCAAGGAGGAGCATATTAATGGATGCTGGGCTTAATACCTGGGTGATAGGTTGATCTATTGCAGCAAACCACACTGGCACACATTAACCTATGTAACAAACCTGCACATCCTGCACATGTAACCTGGAACTTAAAAAAATTGAAAAAAAAAAGTATTATCAACTTCAAGCCTTGTGATGGCTTAAGCCTGTAATCCCAGCACTTTGCCAGAGGCTGAGGCAGGCGGATCACGAGGTCAGGAGGTCTCGAGACCATCCTGCCTAACACAGTGAAACCCCATCTCTACTAAAAAAAATACAAAAAACTAGTCGGGTGTGGTGGCAGGTGCCTGTAGTCCCAGCAGCTCGGGAGGCTGAGGCAGGAGAATGGCATAAACCAGGAGGCGGAGCTTGCGGTGAGCTGAGATCCGACCTGCACTCCCAGCTGGGGCGACAGAGCGAGACTCTGTTTCAAAAAAAAAAAAAAAAAAAAAAGTATTATCCCAACTTTGTTTTATTTTATGTATTTATTTTATTTTATAACCGAATCACTCTGTTGCCCAGGCTGGAGTGCAATGGCACAATCTCTGGTCTGCAATCTCCACCTTCCCAGGTTCAACAATTCTCATGCCTCAGCCTCCCAACATGGCTGGGACTACAGGTATGAAGCCACCACACCCAGCTAATCTGTATTTTGAAATAGGAACAGGGTTTTGCCATGTTAGCCAGGCTGGTGTCAAACTCCTGGCCTCAAATGGGCTTGCCTCTCCAGCCTCCCAAAGTACACAAGATTACAGATGTGAGTGCTGCACCTGGCCCCAACTTTACAGATGAGTAAATTACTCAATATGTGTCCACATCGTATCTGGTACCTTGTTTTAAGGAGCTCATAGTCTAGTGGTGACATAAACAATTACATATATGGCACAAATAATTACAAAAACAGTAAAAGTATGTTGTGTTTGAAGACTAATGAATAAATCAGGAGTAACTTCAATACAAAATAAATAAAATTAGAGAAAATTTGGATAACATCCAAAAAGAACTTGTATTATAAGCAGATAAGAGTTCAAGGACAGAGGTAGCATGAAGCAGTACTAGAAAAAAGGGCTGAGAAAGGGATTAGGAACTAGAAAAGCCAAGAGAAGGTATGTCATAGAGAAGGCGAGGAGGAAATGGTTGTGAGGTGTTAGATGCTGCAAGGAAATCAAGGTTACTCTATTCTAATTTGTGTACTTTGTAAGAATCCTCATTTAATTATTCACTAATTGAATACTCATTGGAAGCTATTAAGTGTCCGAACATTGTGCTGGCCTCCAGAAATACAAATATAGAAAAAGACAAGAATTCACTTTCTTTATTAATAACAATGCCATTAACTAATTTGGGTTTTAAGGTTCTTGGATTTTAAAAACCTGTGGTAATACTAAGGAGAATGAGTATATTGCACTTAGAATTTAAGAAATATTAAGGGGCTGGGCATGGTGGCTCACACCTGTAATCCCAGCACTTTTAGAGGCCCGAGTCAGTGGATCACTTGAGATCAGGAGTTTGAGACCACAGCCTGGCCAACAGGTGAAATCATTTCTACTAAGATACAAAAAAATCAGCCAGGCATGGTGGCACATGCCTGTAATCCCAACTACAACTGCTAGAACCGGGAGGCAGAGGCTGCAGTGAGCTGAGATTACTTTCAGTGCTCTGTAGCCTGGGTGACAGAGCAAGACTCCATCTCAAAAACAAACAAACAAACAAAAACTTACAATATAAGGCAGAACACTACAAGTGTTGAGAAAAAAATATATATACTTTGAGGTTTCAGTAAAGATTGAAATTATATGCAATCAGAGAGAAAGAGAAAATGTCCTAAAGAAAGTTACAGTTGTTTTGTGTTTGTGTGTGTGTGTGTTTGTTTGTTTGTTTTGTTTTTGAGATGGAGTCTCACTCTGCCACCCAGGCTGTAGTGCAATGGCACAATCTCGGCTCACTGCAGATTCCACCTCCCAAGTTCAAGTGATTCTCCTGCCTCAGCCTCCCTAGTAACTGGGATTACAGGCACACTCCAACATGCCCGGCTAATTTTTGTATTTTTAATAGAGGCGGGATTTCACCTTGCTGGCCAGGCTGGTCTCACATTCCTGACCTCAAGTGATCCACCCGCCTCAGCCTCCCAGAGTGCTGGGATTACAGGCATGAGCCACCACCCCTGGCCTCAAGGCATTTTAGTAGGAAGTCATACAAAGGGGAGATATGTCTGAAGGAATAATTGGACCCAAGACTTCCTTCTGGAAAAAATGTTATTTTGGGGCTGGGCATGAGTAACTTATGCCTGTAATCTCAGCACTTTGAAACCAAGGCAGAGATGGCTTGAGGCCAGGAGTTCGAGAACACCCGGGACAACATAGTGAGACCCCGTCTTTTTTTTTTTTTTTTTTTTTGAGTCTCGTTCTGTCACCCAGGCTGGAGTGCAGTGGTGCCATCTCCACTCACTGCAAGCTCCGCCTCCTGGGTTCACACCATTCTCCTGCCTCAGCCTCCTGTGTAGCTGGGATTACAGGCACCCGCCACCAGGCGCAGCTAATTTTTTGTATTTTGTAGTAGAGACGGGGTTTCACCGTGTTAGCCAGGATGGTCTTGATCTACTGACCTCGTGATCCATCCACCTCGGCCTCCCAAAGTGCTGGGATTATAGGCGTGAGCCACTGTGCCCGGCCAAGACCCGTGCGTTTTTGGCTAGGCATGAGTGACACATACCTGTAGTCCCAGCCGCTAGAGGCTGAGGCAGGGAGGATTGCTTGAGCCTAGGGTGGGGCTTCAGTCAGCCATGATCATGCCATTGCACTCCAGCCTGGGTGACAGAGCAAGACCCTGACTCAAAAAAAAACAAAAGTTATTTTTGTTTTCAAAGGCAAACAGATTTTGTTGTTCTCAAATATGTGGTCATGAGATGGGCAATTTGTACTTGTGTGAAACAGATACTTTTGGTTAAATAAGTTATGAGGGGTGGATCTGGAAGGAATCAGATTCTCTAGGAACTTAGGTGCAGATTTTCCTTTGATTTGCTGACAGGTGGTCGTTTTTTGGCTAGGCATGGTGACACATACCTGTAGTCCCAGCTTCGCTAGAGGCTGAGGCAGGAGGATTGCTTGAGCCTAGGAATTTGAGGCTTCAGTCAGCCATGATCATGCCATTGCACTCCAGCCTGGGTGACAGAGCAAGACCCTGACTCAAAAAAACAAAAAAGTTATTTTGTTTTCAAAGGCAAACAGATTTTGTTGTTCTCAAATATGTGGTCATGAGATGGGCAATTTGTACTTGTGTGAAACAGATACTTTTGGTTAAATAAGTTATGAGGGGTGGATCTGGAAGGAATCAGATTCTCTAGGAACTTAGGTGCAGATTTTCCTTTGATTTGCTGACAGGTGGTGGTCAATGCATCATCAAGATTAATGCTCAGTTATGACCTCAAGACTTATCTCACCAACACCCTCAATTCAACTGTATTCAAGCTCTTCATCACCACTGGCAGAAATGGTGTCAATCTTAAAGGTCAGGAATCTCTTTATGGTTTCAGTGATTGTTCCTATCTTTCTCATTTTCCCTCAATTCATTTATCCCTTTGGATTAGTAATCCAGATTTTCTTTTTATTTCAAAACTGACTCCATCTTGACAAATAAATCATAGAGCTCTATGAGATCTCAGAAATTATGACAAGACTAAGGTTTTAAAATAGGCTCATCCTAGTCACTATTGTCTTTCTAGTTTTAAAAATACAAATTTTAGGCCGGGCATGGTGACTTACACCTGTAATCCCAGCACTTTGGGAGGCCGAGGCAGGCAGATCACCTGAGGTCGGGAGTTCAAGACCAGCCTGACCAACATGGTGAAACCCCGTCTCTACTAAAAATACAAAAACTACCTGGGTGTGGTGGTGTGCGCCTATAATCCCAGCTACTTGGAGTCTGAGGCAAGAGAATCGCTTGAATCGAGGAAGCAAAGGTTAGAGTGAGCCAAGATCGCACCACCGGACTGCAGCCTGAGCGACAGAGTAAGACTCCATCTCAAAACAAAAAAACACTTAAGGTAATTTTAGGACTCTGGAGTGGTGGCTCACGACTGTAATCCCAATTATTTAGGACGCTGTGGTGGGAGGATCGCTTGAGACCAGGAGTTTGAGACCAGCCTGGGCAACAGAGAAAGACCCCATCTCTCAAAAAAAAAAAAAATAGATGGCCGGGAGCTGTGGCTCACACCTGTAATACCAGCACTTTGGGAAGCTGAGGCGGGTGGATCACAAGGTCAAGAGTTCGAGACCAGCTTGGCTAAGATGGTGAAACTCCGTCTCTACTAAAAATACAAGAATTAGCCAGGTGCAGTGGTGGGTGCCTGTAATCCCAGCTACTTGGGAGGCTGAGGCAGGAGATTTGCTTGAACCCGGGAGACAGAGGTTGCAGTGAGCTGAGATCACACCACTGCACCCTAGCCTGGGCAACAGAGCAAGACTCCATCTCAAAAAAAAAAAAAAAAGAGAGATAATTTTAATTCTATTTGCCTTTTGTTCTTCAAGCATTTAACATATTTTTTCAAATTAGCTATTTGATTTTATTATAAATACAAAGATAGATAAATAAGTAAAGAATATTTTATCTTTAAAATTTCCCAGGTTCTTTTATAGATAAAAAACACTAAATGTTTCTTTGTAACATATTCACCCACTGTTGTCCAAATTACGATTTTATAAACAGACTTTTTTTTTTTTTTTTTTTTTGAGATGGAGTCTTGCTCTGTCGCCCAGGCTGGAGTGCAGTGGTGTGATCTCGGCTCACTGCAACAACCGCCTCCTGGGTTCAAGCAATTCTCCTGCCTCAGCCTCCTGAGTAGTGGGGACTACAGGCACATGCTACCATGCCCAGCTAACTTTTGTATTATTAGTAGAGGCAGGGTTTCACCATGTTGGCCAGGCTGGTCTCGAACTCCTGACCTCAGGTGATCAGCCCGCCTCAGCCTCCCAAAGTGCTGGGATTACAAGTTTGAGCCACCACACCCAGCCAACAGACTGCCGTTTTATTCCCCAGAATCTTTCTAAAATCACTACTTATTTTATTGAGAAACCTCATGCATCAGTCCCTTTGATTTTGCTGAAGATTTTTCAAGAAGAATACCACCCGGCCGGGCGCGGTGGCTCAAGCCTGTAATCCCAGCACTTTGGGAGGCCGAGACTGGCGGATCATGAGGTCAGGAGATCGAGACCATCCTGGCTAACACGGCGAAACCCCGTCTCTACTAAAAAAAATACAAAAAACTAGCCGGGCGAGGTGGCGGGCGCCTGTAGTCCCAGCTACTCGGGAGGCTGAGGCAGGAGAATGGCGTAAACCCGGGAGGCGGAGCTTGCAGTGAGCTGAGATCCAGCCACTGCACTCCAGCCTGGGCGACAGAGCGAGACTCCATCTCAAAAAAAAAAAAAAAAAAAAGAAGAATACCACCCATTGCAGCTGACCCAATGATAACAACAGTCCACTTCTTGCTGTCTATATGATTCCTCTTAAGGTACCACTTGTGATGAAGTTCTAGGGGCTTGGGGCTTGAATTATATTGTAATTATATTACAATATTGTATATGAAAAACAAATTATCCTAGACCTAAAAGCCACCTCCAAACTGTACTGCTTTATTTTTATTTATTTGTCTATTTATTTATTTATTTATTTTGAGGCGGAGTCTTGCTCTGTCGCCCAGGCTGGAGTGCAGTGGCACTATCTCGCCTCACTGCAAGCTCCGCCTCCTGGGTTCAGGCCATTCTCCTGCCTCAGCCTCCCGAGTAGCTGGGACTACAGGCGCCTGCCACCAGGCCCGGCTAATTTTTTTGTATTTTTAGTAGAGATGGGGTTTCACCGTGTTAGCCAGGATGGTCTCGATCTCCTGACCTCATGATCCACCCATCTCGGCCTCCCAAAGTGCTGGGATTACAGGCTTGAGCCACCGCGCCCGGCTTATTTGTCTATTTGAGATGGAGTTTCGCTCTTGTTGCCCAGGCTGGAGTGCAATGGCACAATCTCGGCTCACCGCAACTTCCGCCTCCTGGGTTCAGTTGATTCTCCTGCCTCAGCCTCCCAAGTAGCTGGGATTACAGGTGTGCACCACCACCCCCAGCTAATTTTGTATTTTTAGTAGAGATGGAGTTTCTCCATGTTGGTCAGGCTGGTCTTGAACTCCCGACCTTAGGTGACCGCCTGCCTCGTCTTCCTGAAGTGCTGGGATTACAGGTATGAGCCACCTCGCCCGGCCTATTTTTAATAGATTTCTAACTTCCCTGTAATCTTTTTTACTCCCACTGACAAATTCAAAAAAAATATTTGAAAAAAGACACCACCTATGTATGATACTGATAATGGAAGCCCCACTGTAGTCATTCACAAATTAGAATGCGAGGGTCTCACACTATTCTTTCACCTTGATTGAAGCAGAGGTGGGCAAACCAGCCATAATTGACCCTCTTTCTTGCTTATGTTTTTTTATGATCCAAAGTTGCCGCCGTATAATCTCTTTTTACAAATTATTGTTAGTGACAAAGCTATTTACCTCTTTTCTGCTTTTCAGGATTCTGTACCCCAAACCAGGCCTTGGCCGTTACAAAAGTACTTCTTCCAGCAACCCTCATGCTGTGCCATGTACAGTTCAGTAGTACTTTGCTAGACATTCCAGCAAGTAAAGTCTTTCATGTCCATTCAGATTTCAGTATGGAGAAAGGTAGGTTACACCAGTTGACTCTGGTTTCCCCATTCTGTTTATCTATTTGTACAACTGTCCCATTCTTATTTGACTGCTTTTATATCTGTAGTTTCATCTGATACATAACTGTGGAATTTTTCTCAGGCAACACTTTTGTTCAACCCATTCAACCCCTTTTTTTTTTTTTTTCTTTTTTTTGATACAGGGTCTTGCTGTGTTGCCTAAGGCTGGAGTGTAATGGTATGATCATAGCTCATTGTAATCTTAAACTCCTAGTCTCAAGCAATTCCCCTGCCTCAGCCTCCTGAGTAGCTAGGACTACAGGCACATGACATCATGCCTTTTTTTTTTTTTTTTTTTTTAAGAGCGACATGATCTTCCTATATTACCCAGGCTAGTCTCAAACTCCTGGCCTCAAGCAATCTTCCTGCCTCAGCCTCCCAAAGTGCTGGAATTACAGGTGTTAAGCCCACTGCCCCCAGCCCTATTCAAATAATTTTTAACACATGCCTCCTAGAATACCCTGTGCTTTTCTATTACAGTTTACTATTTTCTTGTTAGTCCCCATTAACTCTGTGAGGCTCTGCATTGTGTCTCATTCATCTTGCATTTCCAGCATGTAGCACAGTGTTTGGATGTTTTGTTGAACTGAAAGATACTCCAAATTAAAGAACAGGATTAACAAGTGAAAAGTGGAAATAGGCATGATGTTAGGAGGACTTTATGTAAATCAGCTTATCTAAAAATGAAAGGATTCATATCAAATGTAAGGTATAGGGCTGGGCGCAGTGGCTCACACCTGTAATCCCAGTACTCTGGGAGGCCGAGGCAGGCGGATCACCTGAGGTCAGGGCTTCGGAGACCAGCCTGGCCAACATGGTGAAACCCCCATCTCTACTAAAAATACAAAAATTAACCAGGCGTGGTGGGAGGCACCTGTAATCCCAACTACTGGGGAGACTGAGGCAGGGAGAATTGCCTGAACCGGGAGATGGAAGTTGCAGTGAACCAAAATCATGCCACTGCACTCCAGACTGGGCAAGACTACATCTCAAAAAAAAAAGAAAAAAGAAAAAGTAAGGTATAAATAAGGTAGTGCTTCATCATGAGAGAACCTCTAATGCTAGATCAGGCAGTCTGAATGGTTTGGGTCATTAGCAACCACTGAAGGAAGGTTCATTCAGCAAACTGTTTATAATACCTGATAGCAGGAGAAGATGTGGAGTAACAAAGAAAAGTAATTTTTGGTTTGTTTGTTTGTTTGTTTTGTTTTGTTTTGTTTTTGAGATGGAGCCTTACTCTGTCTCCCAGACTGGAGTGTAGTGGTACAATCTCAGCTCACTGCAACCTCTGCCTCCCGGTCACAAGCTATTCTCCTGCCCCAGCCTCCTGAGTAGCTGGGATTACAGGTGCATGTCACCATGCCCAGATAATTTTTGTAGTTTTAGTAGAGATGGGGTTTCACAATGTTGGTCAGGCTGGTCTGGTCTCGAACTCCTGACCTCGTGATCCACCCACCTCAGCATCCCAATGTGTTGGGATTACAGGCGTGAGCCACCACACCCAGCCATTTTTGTTTCTTTATTTTGTTTGTTTGTTTGTGTAGGGACAGGATCTCCCTATGTTGCTCAGGCTGGTCTCAAACTCCTAGCCTCAAGTGATCCACTTCGGCCTCCCAAAGTGCTGGGATTATAGGCACGAACCACCATGTCCAGCCTAAACCTTTTAACTTTTAGTGTTACCCTACCAGGTGATGAGTTACAGGATAGACACATATATGTTTGTGACTTCAACTTATTGATGAAAAAATAAATCAGGCCAGGTGCAGTGGCTCATGCTCATAATCCCAGCCCTTTGGGAGGCCATGGCAGACAAATTACTTGAGGTCAGATGTTTGAGACCAGCCTGGCCAACATGGTGAAACCCCATCTCTGCTAAAAATACAAAAATTAGCCAGGCATGGTGGCAGGCACCTGTAGTCCCAGCTATTCGGGAGGCTGAGGCAGGAGAATCACTTGAATCCAGGAGGCAGAGGTTTCAGTGAGCCAAGATGGTGCCACTGCACTCCAGCCTAGGCAACAGAGTGAGACTCCGTCTCAAAAATAAATAAATAAGGCCGGGCGTGGTGGGTCATGCCTGTAATCCCAGCACTTTGGGAGGCCAAAGCGGGCGGATCATGAGGTCAGGAGATTGAGACCATCCTGGCTAACAAGGTGAAACCCCCTCTCCACTAAAAAAATACAAAAAATTAGCCGGGTGGGGTGGCGGGTGCCTATAGTCCCAGCTACTCAGGAGGCTGAGGCAGGAGAATGGCGTGAACCCAGGAGGCAGAGCTTGCAGTGAGCCAAGATCATGCCACTGCACACCAGCCTGGGCGACAGTGCGAGACTCCGTCTCTCAATAGATAGATAGATAGATAGATAGATAGATAGATAGATAGATAGATAGATAGA